CCACCTCACCCATGCCCCCGTCTGCCCCTGCCCCCCCGCCCCCCCCAGCAGGAACCCAAGGTGGCATGGGCAAGCCCAGAATTGCACCACATGGCCCAGCACATGGTCTGGAAGCAGCTGGGGCCAGGGCTGCAGGGACTTCTGGGGCCCAACCACAGACTCCAGCCCTGCAAACTGGAAGGCAGAAGCCAAAGGTAAGGTAAGGTACGGTGGGGAAAGGGGAAAATAGGGGGAAGGGGTGGGAGAGGAAGGGGCTTGTGCTGAGGGGAGGGGGACAGGGCAGGAGAAGAAAGGGGAAGGTACCAAGGGACAGGGTGCAGGAGAGACAAATGCCAGGGGGCCAAGTGGAGGCAATAAGGAAAAGGGCAGGAGGGGAGGTGTCAGTGGGAGGGGGTGATGCTGGGAGAGGAGAAGGTAAGGGCACTGGAGGCTAAAGGGGGGAGGGGGAGGTGCCGGGAGAAGGATTGAAAGAGGGGTGAGAGGGATAAGGAGTTGCTGTAACTGATCAGCCCAGTGGCCTACCTAATCCAAAATCCAGTCTTGGATGAGTATCAGTAAAGTGGTGAAAACAGTGATATTGTTCCAAGCTCCATACCTTGAGACACTACAATGAGATGTACTTGCTTGCAGTATGTTGCACTACTGGTGATCTGCTGGGGCTTCTTTCTCCCACAGTGGCATGCTGAGTTCTGAGTCTTGTTAGAGAAAACGGTGTTACTCCAGTGAAAAAGATCTCATCACAGGCTGGTGTAGATTTTCAAAACATGATTCCCCTTTAACTGTCTTACATGACTTGATCAGTAGTGACATAGTTAACAGACATACTTACCCAGGAACCTACTCCTGCAGTAAACCCTGTTGCCAATTTGTCCACACATCTATACAAGCAGCACTATCACAGGACCTAACCACATAGAATCATAGAACCATAGAGCTGGAAGAGACCTCAGAAGGTCATCAAGTCCAGCCCCCTGCTCTAGGCAGGACCAATCCCAACTAAATCAACCCGGCCAGGGCTTTGTCAAGCCGAGACCTAAACACCTCTATGGATGGAGACTCCACTACTTCCCTAGGTAACCCATTCCAGTGCTTCACCACTCTCCTAGTGAAATCATTTTTCCTAATATCCAACCTGGACCTCTCCCACCTCAACTTGAGACCATTGCTCCTTGTTCTGCCATGTTCTGACATGGCAGCAGAGGGACAAGGTAGAGGTTTATAAGATATTTATTAATAACTTGGGTGCCACAGTGGCACATGCAACAAGCCACATGAACTCAGTACTGGTGCACTAGACAAAATTCATTCTGCTCATGGGAGGAAACTCTTAGAAGGAACACTTCCCCCAGCCTCTCTGACCCCGAGTTAATGTCACACACATTGAGGTAATGCATTTGCAGGATAGTTGCATGAGGGGGGTTTCGTGGGGGCCAAACTAATCCGTATTGGTAGGAAGATGATGGGAAAAGTCCTTGGGGGGACACCTTTTTACTTTTGGTCATGTGTCCATTTTGCCCTGATAGTGTTACCTCCAGAGGTGTGGCTAATGGGAGTCAAGGAGTATGGCTAATGGGGTCAAAGAGTACATTTTTAAAAAATTCTTTGGGTGCACACCCTAATGTAATGTGCTGCGCACACCTATGATTGATATGTAAAGACAGCTCATGCCAGGAGGGGGAAGGAATCTGAGGTGTGGTTATGTAAATCCAATTCAGCCAGGGCTGATGGAGGATCAGTGTTGGAATGGAATATGGTGTATTGTAAATAATTTGGGGCTGTTGTGTGGGTCACAAATCATGCTACCCCTAAATGTGAGAACTGTAAAACATGACACCGGTGCTTGCAGGAGATACACCATTACTGTAAGAGGTGTTCGAGGAACAAGCCTCCCCCCCTTCCAGAGTTGAGTGAACTGATTTGAGGGGGAAGGGCTTAAGTCAGCCTGCTTCATGCCTGCCAAGTGTGAGCTATAAGACTGACCTAACCTGCCTCTTTCCCCCTTTTGTTTTAAGGACAGACCTGAAGTAGACTCCATGAGGAGTCTTTTGCTAGTCCAGTGGAAGCTGGAATCTTTGGCCAGCCTAGGTGATGGCTAAAGAGTTGAATCCTAAGAGCTGAAATCACTGGTTTGGCTGGGAGCCAGACCCATTGCAGCCAGTGGAGCGGGGGGAGGGGAGG